TTTATTCTTTATAATAAAAAGAAAGCAAAAGTGAAATAACATCAAGTTATTGCTTAAAGGAAGAGTGCAAGAATAGCAACAACAGAAATAACCATTGTTGATAAAGCTCCACATTGGTACATAATTCCTTTTTCACAAACATCACATTTGTACATTGTGTTTTGTGATGTTCTTTCTCCATCATCACATTTGTCATTTGGATAACTACCAATTAACATTTCTGAATTTTCTTCGAAATATTTATAGTAGAGATTTTCATCAACCTTTAAACATTTGTCTGTGAAATAAACTCTAATAGTGTCATCACGATGAGAACAGCTACCATCATCCTCAATTAAACTATAGAATCCAACATGTTTTGGTGCTTTCTTGATTTCAACATCACATTGTTCTTCAGAATCACATACTTCTTGTTTAAATTCAGCACTGTTAATATCAACATTAATATCTTCTTTATCACCATCACAATTTGTTGAGTTATAATGTTCTACAGTTACTTGGTTACCATCATGAGTAGCATACATAGATCCATCTTCCCCAAAATAATAACACTTTTTAAATTCAATTGAGATGAAGCTAACAGCATCTCCATCTTGGTTCTTTGCTGAGGTTATAACTAATGAATCTTTTGCTAAAGTAGCAGCAATAAAGAGAACAAAACACAACATGTTCATTTTGTTTATTTTTTATAAAGTTTTCAGTTTAAATACCTATTTGTAATTCGTCAAATCAATCATTTTATCATAATTATCAAATATTTTTAACAACATTCCATTATTCTCTTCCTATATTTTCTATTTACAATTTTTTTTACCTGGATCGAACCAAATGGAATATATCCATTTGAATAAAAATCCATAATTTCTCACTGAGTCGAATCTTTTTCATTTTTTTTTTCAATTGTATGTTATTTCTCTTATCAAATATAAACTATCCTTCCTTAATTAGTGCTATTTTCTTATATTTATTATTAATTTTATTTTTTTCGGCTTTTTTTATTTTTCTAACAATTTTTGTCAAGCAAAACTCGATAAAAAAAGTCGAAAAATATTCTTTTTTTAGCAAATAGTCTCTGATTCTATTTTTATGATTCAATTTAATTATTTTTTTATATCCATATAACGTTCATATAATATTGTTTCAAAGTAAAAAAAGATTAATCTTAAGTTAAATTTAATAAATTTTTACATAATGGAAATAAACGTTTTTGTAGTAAAACAAGAGATAAGAATAGTAATATTAAGCAAAAAGAGAAAAAAATCCTTTCAGTCAATGGCATTTTATCAATTATTTTTTGTTTTAATTTATTAATACTATCACAATCATATTATTAATTATTTTATTCTTATTACATACTAATCTGAATTGTATAGATTGGTGTGTTTTCTTTCATTAAAGTATTTCTTAATTATATTTTAATACCCCTTTAATTATCATAGTTTCCATTTGTCTTTGTTTGTCACTACTCTTCATATTATTCTTAAATACATGTTATTATTATTTAATTATTGAATCAATTAGTGTTATTAAAATGACTAACTCACAAGATTATTCAAAACTAAAAAATGTCAAGCAATTATAATTAAATTAGTGTGGTTCATCTGTCTTTACGTTTGCGTGTTTGCTTTACTTAAATTAAGGTAATAATTTTATATTTAATTATGACTATATTAATTACCTATTAATTAAAATGATTGGACTTGACAATTCATAGTTTGTATAGCATTTATATTACTGTTTCAGTAATTATTTTATTATGAAAAAATTTGTATATTGAAATAACTCATTCTTACTCCATTTAAATATTATTTTCTGGTTTCTTTTATACCTATATCATCATTTTCTTTTTATCTTATGTTTTTATTTATTATACCTTTATTAATTATTTGTTATTCATCAATATTTTATTAGAAATGAAGGTTAAAAATAATATTCACACCAATAATTTGATTGAATAATTATACCAATAAAGTAATAATAGCCAATACATTACACTTGTTCTATTCAATATAAAACGATAAACAACTAAATAACAAACACTAACGATCATTCAATAGTTGTGTTTAAAGACAGATTTAAAAATATTAATTTTTTTTCAACTGTAGTAAATAAATCGTCCCATTCATTTATTAAAAAGAAGAAATCAGAATATAAATTACCTATGATT